GAACAAGTCATCGAGAAGAAAGGAGAGTTCCATCATGACCAAATGACGTGTGTTTGCCATTATCGGTGTGAGTCCAAGTGATGTAGTGTGTGACTAAATAAATTAAGCCCAATGTTTAGATGGATTTCGAACAAGTTGTGATGGATTTTGAACAAGTTGTGAACATTTGATATAAATGTGAATCTGTTGTACTTGATGTCCATCTTGTGTGAACATGTTACATATTGATGACTTATATAATATATATATATATATATATATATATATATATATTTATTTATTTATTTATTTCTTCTGTGAACGATGTGGGGTTCTGATGAGCAATGTGTACATTTGTTATATGCTATCAGTGACACATTAGACAGACATGAGTCACTGATATCAAATTATCAGTGACGCATATTCTTAGTATGTGTCACTCATATATCCTTATTCGTGACGTGTGTTACCACAACGTGTCGCTGATATAGACTTATTAGTGACGCGGGTTCCCACAGCGTGTCGCTGATATGGATTTATCAGTGACGCGTGTTCCCGTTTTCAGTGACGCGTATTCTGAATAAGCGTCACTCTATTTCCTTATCAGTGACGCGTCTTACAGTTATCGGTGACGCATGTTCGCGCTATCAGTGACTCGTGTTCTAAATATGCGTCACGGATAGTTTCCTATCAGTGACGCGTTTTTACGCGTCACTAATGTGCCCTTATCACAGACGCAAGAATAGTGACGCGTGTTTTACGCGTCACTGATGACCCTCTACACGCGTCACTGATAAGGTTTTCTGGCATAGTGTTTTGGTGTTTGGTTTAGAAACGGGTGGGATAGAACCCTTCCTAAGAGGGAATATTTCTCTTAGACATGGTCTCTCCCTGTCCTAGAAAAGGGAGGTGCTGCGTTGTCCCTTGCTGGTGGCATCTTCCTTCGTTTGCCCATCTCTCCACATCCAAGCTGCCCAGCCTTACTTTGCGCCTCCGCCTCTGCAGGGTCCCAGCCATGCCACCCCCGGTGGGCTTGCTAATTTGTTATGCACTCGGCTGCCACCCCCCTAGGCCTCCTCAACATCACGCCGCCCTGCTCCGCGTCTAGCTGCGTCGCCCCAGGCCCCAGCCGCTCCGCCTCGGTGGGCCTCCTGCATACTGTGCTGAGCTTTGCAAATAAATATTCCCATTGTTCTAAGTTCTAAGTCGTTTTGACTTTTTTTTCTAGATATATGTTTTTTCCTATGCATCTAGATATACACTGTGTCTAGATTTATAGCAAACACTATATACTTAAAAATTAAAATAACTTAAGACGAATTAGTATATGCAAATCAGGATTTGCATGAAGCATTGTCCCATTGTATGGCTTTTGTAGCATGTGGCATTCATTTTAACATTTTTTTAATCATCTTAAGAATCGTTGTATGGATAGCAAGCTCGGCACCAGCACCGAGAAGACATGCCCAGAGGTGACTACGCCAACGAGGGATGACCTCATCCCCTCGATTTGTAGGGATGGTTAGACCCAAATAAGTAGGGAATATTCCCCTAAAGTTGCATTTGTTTTAGGGACAAGTAGGAATGGGATGGGTCCATCCTAGTTTATTGGGACGGATAATCTTATGTATGTGTTTAGTTGAGGTGATGGGGACGTCCCTGTTTTGTGTTTCGATGAGGGACAAAATGTATGACAACTGTGAAGCAGCCATGCGTGGAGAATACCCACCGGCACGACATGAAGGAGGCTCACCGGCACAGTATGCAGGAGGCCCACCGAGGCGGAGCGGCTGGGGCCTGGGGCGACACAGCTAGACGCGGAGCAGGGCGGCGTGATGTTGAGGAGGCCTATGGGGGTGGCAGCCGAGTGCATAACAAATTAGCAAGCCCACCGGGGGTGGCATGGCTGGGACCCTGCAGAGGCGGAGGCGCAAAGTAAGGCTGAGCAGCTTGGATGTGGAGAGATGGGCAAACGAAGGAAGATGCCACCAGCAAGGGACAACGCAGCACCTCCCTTTTCTAGGACAGGGAGAGACCAACACAAGGCTAAAAGTGCAGTAGTAAGCTTGGCCTGTCGTATCCTTCAACTTTGCAAGATGGAAGCTTGGTTGTTTAAATTGATATTTTTTTGCGAACGCGACTTCACATGTTTTTCAGTAAGAGGTTTAAATTGATATTTCATCTCTATCGACCCTAGCTGACTCCCTCTTGAATCAATGACAAAGCTCTGTCACTACTGTCCGACAGGATTTCAGAACACATTTGTAGAGCACGTTTCATGGTTTAGACGATTCATGGGACATAAAGCAAGAAATTTGGATGGGATGCATATTTCGAACATCAAAATTTCAGAGAAGATAAACTGAACATCTGAAAAGAATAAACAAATAAAATGAGGTTTGAGCTAGTTTATGTTTATTTTCCTATGGAACTGAGGCATACGAATGTGTATAATATCATCAATAGGAAATTGACCACTCCATTCCTATGTTCTACGGTAACTTTGATAGGAATAGGTCTTTTACGGTCACCTGAAAACTGGCACTAGTAAATTTATCCACTATTGTTCTTGTAGGCAGCAAAATTTGCAATTGGTATGTCACTGAAACTAACCTTATTGTGGCTGGAGCAAAACCCGGTCGGACGATGCACCCAATTAAATAACGCCGATGCCCGCCGACCTTTGTTTTCGATGATCAGAAAACAAAATGGTTTACAAGCCGCAGCCCTCGCGTTATGCTTTTGTGGCCTTGTGGGTGGCGTGCTGCTCTCGGCAACCACTAATCAGTAGTACAATGTTTCACAATGCACGCATGCAATGATCTTTGTTGGGCTCTAGTATGCTTATATACAGTTTGCTTGTACAGCCGGTTTGGAATCCAGTTTTTCTATACAACCGAAGAACTTACCTTTGCTCTGCCTCTCCGTGCGGTAACCTCTATAGCGTCCGGCAGTCTGCTAGGAAACGAATCCATCCTAAACTTGGAACACTCATGTTAGATCTTACCTTTGCTCTGCCTACGTTGCTTCTCCGTGCGGTAACCTCTATAGCGTCCGGCAGTCTGCTAAGAAACGAATCCATCCTAAAACTGGAACACTCATGTTAGATCTTAACTTTGCTCTGCCTACGTTGCTTCTCCGTGCGGTAACCTCTATAGCGTCCGGCAGTCTGCTAAGAAACGAATCCATCCTAAACTTGGAACACTCATGTTAGATCTTACCTTTGCTCTGCCTACGTTGCTTCTCCGTGCGGTAACCCAAAGTAAAAAAAAGAGCTTAGCTTCACTGATACAGCAGCTCCTTTTTTACTTTGTCTCCACAAGCAGCCCCACTTGTAGAGCTAAAGCTATTTGAAAAATCATTTGGTAATAGAAATAGCTTCTCATAGTAGATCTTTGAGAGGGAACTAGGAGAAGCTAGTATATTCAACTCCATCTGACGTCCATCCTTTATGAGACTAAGTTTTAAGAAGCTCCACTTGAGGATGTTCCATTTTAACCCAATTGATAAAAGAAAAACAGTTTCCGAAGTTGCTGAAGACGTGCCAAATGGAATGTTACCCGTGAGAATTTGAATAGCAGTTGTCTTGTTGGAACTGGCCTTTAAGCATCTGTGCGCCTCACTCGGTTGAACTCTTATTTTTCTCTTCTACCTTAAAATGATTGAAGGATAGAACTTCTACCCATTCCTTTTTATATATATAGAAAAGGAGTTCCCCATCGGCAAAAGTGCACAACAGTGTGAAGGGACAAGAGCAAGGACCAGGGGCAAAGAAAAGAATAGAGCAGGGGTGCCTTGCTTGTCCATATTGTGGTTCAGGGGAAAATACTAGGTGTAAACCATCCTCTCGATAGAATCGTGAAAACCTCCAGAAAAACATATTTAGGAATTTTCAAAAAATCTGAAACAATGCATATCCATAGTGCATTTATAAATATAATTGTCACCAAATTTGTGATTCGAAGTCATTTAAAAAAAACATTCTAAAATAACAAATTCCGGGTGCATATACCTTAGAAGACAGATTTTCAGAAATTCTGTCTTTGCCTATACAGCTGAAATTTGTTCTTTTCGTATGATTTTTTCTTAATGAAGTTTGAATCTCAAATTTGGTGACAACATACATCTATAGATGCACTATGGATGTGCATTGTTTCAATTTTTTTTTAAACTTCTAAGTACATTTTGTAGGAGGTTTTCACCATTCCACTGAGAAAGTAGTTTGCACCTAATATTTCCCCGTGGTTCGAACTTGAGACCTAAAAAAGGCAACTTCGTTCCGTTGACTGGCATGGCATAACCTGTTGACACCCTGCTAACTTGGTCTGCCGGCCCTGCTGGAGTAGCTCGCTAGAATTTGAGTTATCCTTGTGCTGTTGCAGCTGGCCTTGGAGCATCTGTACGGCTGACTCGGTTGAACTCTATTTTTTCTCTTCTTGGAGCATCTTCACGAGTTTTGTAAAACTATTCTCTATTTTAATAGTTTAGTAAAAAGATAAAAAAAAGTGTCCTCTAACAGTTTGGCATCCTTATCCATAACAATAAAAAGTTGTCAAATATCCTCTCCAATTTGTAAGTTTCCGCAGTCAAGAGGAATTCTGAATCCTCTCCTCTACCTAGCGTTTTTTCTCGAGAGATCGGAGTACATTGGACGCATGCATAAATAAAAAAATAAAGGATTGCAGATGAGAAAGCGGTAAAGTATAAAAAATTTGGTTAGTTAGAAATAGTTCAGGTGTTCCCAATGCAAAATCGTTTAGGAAGCTATTATAGAAGACTGTTGGAGAAGGATACAATTTAAGATTGAGCACTTAGCTTAAAATGATTAAAGGATTGAGCTCCCACCCATTCTTTTTTTTTAAAAAGAAATACCCCATGGGGAAAAGCGCAGAACAGTGTGACGGGACAAGAGCAAGGGCCAAAGGCAAAGAAAAGAATAGAGAAGGGGTGCCTTGCTTGTCGATGTTGTTGTGGTTCAGACCTAAAAAAGGCACCCTCGTTCTGTTGACTGGCATGTGGCGATGTATTGTTGTTTTCCGTGCCGCTTCCACTCTTGGGACGAGCCATCGTCGCCTGCGGCCCCAAAATGGTCACCGCCCGAGGGCGACGTTCGCGCCATCTTCTCCCTCCACAAATTCCGCTCGGATGACAAAGATGTTTTAGATGAAGATGGCCTCCGCCGCTGCCTCGGCGCCTACCAACAAGGAGGCAAACGAGGACTCGACGACGATGACACCAACGACGTGGAACGTCTGCTTGAGCAGATCCGCAGCACCCGCGACGGCCCACGCATCCTGCGCCAGCAGCTCTTCACCTTCGACGACTTCCACCGCATCCTCTTCTCCCACGATGTCAACCCGCCCATCCGGCACCGGCGTGTCCACCATGACATGACGCTGCCTCTCTCCCACTACTTCATCTACTCGGTCCACAACCCCTACTACGCAACGGCGGCAGACCAATGGCTCTGCAGCAGCCACGGCCGCAGTGATGAACCCATCATCAGGGCGCTCAAGATGGGGGTAAGGGCCATCGAGGTCGCCATGTGGCCCAATTCAAAAGCGGATGACATCAAAATCCACCATGGCTGGTATGGTACTCTCTCCTCATCTTACACTACACACTCTCTCTCTCTCTCCTGTACTTACACTGTCTTATACAATATACGAATTAAATTCTGCACAGGACACAGAACACCCGGGTTTTACTAACTGAGTGCTTGAAATCCATCAAAGAATACGCCTTTATTGCATCTCGTTATCCTGTTATCATTACGCTTGAAGACAACCTACAATCGTCTAACCTCCAGAAAAAAGCTGCCAAGGTCGGTCCGGTCTGGTCCTCGATCTCCTTCTCTTTTCTTTTTTCTTTGCATGTGATGATTATGAAATTGTTGCCGTGCGCTTCTTTATCAATCTCCTCTTCTACCTACCTAGCTAGTTGCTGTTAATCATTTTGTTCCCTAATAATGTCGTCGGTGCTTCTGGAAATTAATCTCGTTATTACCACTTAGGTTTTCCTTGATGTACTTGGCGACGTACTGTACTGGCCTCATGCCGATTACATTGACGTACGTGGCAACGCTTACAGTAATAATAAACCCCTCAAAGATTTCCCTTCGCCTGACGAGCTCATGGGTGCTGTACTCCTCTCGACAAAGCCCCCAAGCCATCTAGAGGTTGATGTGTCAGAGGACGATGACGATCAGCTTCATGTTCACAAAGGAGCTGACGACAAGGATGCAGCATGGGGGCCAGAAGTACCGTTTTTTCAGACTGAAAAAATCCAGTCTGATCATCAGAAGGTAAAGGGCTCGTAGTTTCTGTTCCTCTTTCCATGCATGCCACGGCCTACATATAGATGAGATGATAGAATCTATTCATTGAGATTTCACCAGCGCAATATTATTTCTAATTGTGATTTACCCTAGCAGCACGATGGTGGTGTCTTAGTACAGCCAAGACGGCGTAACGACGATTACGATGATGAATATCCACTGTATCGCCACCTGATTACAATTAGACCAGATAACCTTTTTCCTAGAGGCAGACCAACCTCGAAGATGGAACCGCCGCCGGATGATGATGTCTTGCAGAGTGAACCGGTTGAAGTTAGGCGTCTCAATAAGCAACAAATTGCAGAGTATCGTGGCACCGACATTGTGAGGTAAACAATGTAACAAGTTCATGGATAGAGATATATTCAATAGCCAGCTACAAAATTAGTTATTCTATAGCCACCTAAATTTACGATAATTTTATATACTAATTTACGATAATGTCAATACATATCTATGATAGTTGGGTTATTATAACACATGGAGATATTTACTATAACGTTATAGTAAACCACTTAGTAAGGAGTTACTATAATCTCGTAAATTAATATAGTAATTAACATAATTCAAAGTTGCTAAAGAATAAGTTATTTTGTAGCCTGATACAGGGTAGTAGTTATATATATATATATATATATATATATATATATATATATATATATATATATATACGCGCACGCACTGTTTACCAACAACGTGCTCCCTTTACATCTTTGATTTGACGGCAGCAGTCCTCCTTCATGCATGTTTTTTTACACAGCAGCAGTCATAGGTGGACCCAGGGTCCGGCAACCCTGGGCCCTTGCCCATGCTCCTCTCTTGGTAATCCCTTGGGGCCCATTAGACGGCCCATTAGCTGAGCATGGATTATCTGGGCTGGAAGCAGTGTAAAAGGATATCGCAGTTGCCTCGCCCGGCCTGCTCCGTCTGCCCGTGTCCGCTACTAGCAGCAGTAGAAATAGCTAGGGTGACAATGGTGATATATACCATACCATCTATGTTAATTAACTCAAAACGTTACTGATGGGTACCCTGTAACCTCTTCCCATTGTTGAAACGTCCAATCAATCTTCTGGGTTCGAATAGGTTCACACAGAGAAACTTACTGTGGATATACCCAAGTGTCTCCATCAAGGGCTACCAAAGGCCACTCGCGTTACTTCATCCAACTACAATCCATTTCTCGGCTGGGTGCATGGTGCTCAAATGGTGGCCCTGGATATGCAGGTATATATAATTCTGTTTCACAACTATTGATTGCCTACAAATTTCCATAGTTAAGATCGATGATAAGTTCAATTATATATTTACATCCATATATATTTACAAAGACTGAACAAGAAATGGCAGAAATGCACATATTGATTACATTAGGAAGAGGCTACACTAGCTATGTTACACATTCTGAGATCTCTGATGGGATCCGTTCCATGGAATTTGTTGCAAGGGATAAAAGTGACAGGTTTTCTTTGCAGCTGCCGCTAGTGAGTCATTAGAGCAACTCCAAAAGCCTCTTGATATCCTTCTGTATTGATAGAAATAAAAGTTTAGTAAAACAATGCCCTCCAACAACTTTTTAATTAGATCTTCAAATATTATCATCCTCTGAAGAAAGACTCTTGGAGATGCTTTTAGTGACATTGGCACAACAACTATCACTTTTGTCTACGTCATTTTTTTCAAAAAGCTAACAACAAGAATATGCGGGGGTATATATTAATACACAAGAAACGTTTTACAATAAGAAAAAAACAACAACACCCTCATGAAAGAGATGACAACAAAACACTACCACACCACAAGAAACACAACACCAGAGAACCTCAGAAATAACGGCCAACAAATGCCACCCTGCATGCTATAAAGAACAAGCAAAGAAAATTAGGAGGGGTGTCGCATAAATGCCAGTTTGCCTGGTCGTACGGTTTCACTCTATCTTCTATAACGATACTCTTGTTTATTTCAGGAATATGGAAGAGCCCTTTGGCTAATGCATGGATTTTACAGAGCCAATGGTGGCTGTGGCTACGTGAGGAAACCAGACTTCCTAATAATGCAAACAGAGCCAGAAGTTTTTGATCCAAGGAAACACCTACCTGTGAAGAAGACCTTGAAGGTGCGGCTGCTAGCAGTATAATTTGAACTGTCATAATCTATCCATTGTAAAACTCAGAGACTAATGAAACAAACAAACGCTGCCTGTGTTTCAGGTCAAAGTATACATGGGCGATGGTTGGCTGACGGACTTTAAGCACGCACACACGTCGTTCATTCCAGATTTGTCGACGTCGGTACGTAGACTTCAAATTGTACTCCACAAGTTAACCAGCATAGGTTTTTTATATTACTACTTACTAGTACATGCTAAGTCTCAAAACAACAAACCAATTTCTAGCTAATTTGAGCTCACCAGCAGAGGAAAAAGAAAAGGTCCCCATTAACTATTGTTTAGTTTTTCCTTGAAAAATCACACAAATATAAACCTCGGTAACCAATCAAGAAAATAAACTTGGATATAGAAATTTAGCTAGCTTCTTCTCTATCGATTCCACTGGTTGGTAGCAGGTTGGGATAGCCGGAGTTCCTGCAGACACTACGGCGATGAAGAACACCAAGGCCACGGAGAATACTTGGGTTCCGGTGTGAGAGGATGAGTTCAGCTTCGACCTGACGGTCCCCGAGATCGCTTTGCTCCGGGTGGAGGTGCACCAGTATGACGTGTCCGAGAAAGACGTCTTCGGCGGGCAGACCGTGCTGCCGGTGTCGGAGCTGCGGCCGGGCATCCGAGCGGTGGCGCTCTTCGACCGCCAGGGGAACAGGTTCGACAACGTCAGGCTCCTCATGGGCTTTGACTTTGTTTGATTTGAGAAATGGTGTGTGCTGTGCACTACTGTAACATGCTGTTGGAGTGTTGGGATTGATCCATCCAAGTTGACCACTCATTGCATTGGTGCGTATTGGACGTACGGCCAAGATGGTGTACATATATATGATGCGTAAGACACTAAGACTTCTAGAGATTCCTTTGTATCGACTCGTTGGATTGGATTCTCTATATTACATTGTTAATATAGCCACCTCAACTATATCATCTTCCTGACACGAACATCCATCACCCATGGCGGATTTTATGCAAATTGCAAAAGATACAAGATGCAATAGTTCACAACAAAGAACTGCTTCTCTAACCACTGAACTATTAGATGGAGTCATTTCAATCCTAAGATGAGTTGGCGGCTGAGGACTATGACCCTGTTTCGCCAGACTTCTGGCATGAGCAATGTATATTGTCAAACTAGTCTTTACAGGTGGGTCCATGTAATTGATCTTTTGTTATTTGAAACCACACAATGTACCATCCATGAGGAGGGGCCCATATCGAAAATAAAAAATTGCACTCCCAATTAATAGTCCGCTCGTCCCCCCTCGATCTCCATCTTCGCACCGCACCTCTGCCTCTTAAACTCTTTGCTCTGCCTGGTCCTCTCCCTCACCAGAATAGATGTGTGGCAACCTGATTCAAGAGCCCACATGCTGGACTAGTGTTCCCATTGCTCAATGGAGTTCTCTATAGTGGCTGCCTGCATTCTTGGTGTGGAGGGAGGGAAGGATAGGCTTGGCGCTTCATGTTGGAACTAGCGCTTGAGAGGATGTTGCCCGAGTTGTCCTTTTTGATCCCTACAGCTACCACCCAAACGCTATAGTTAGGGATGCAAGCACCACGAGCCTGCTTAGCCGCCCCCCCCCCCACACACACACAAAGGGCCCACTAGACAATTGCAGGTAGCCTGCTTTCTGTTGCAGGTTGAGGCATGCTAGCCTGCTAGTGCATGTCGCGATTCGATCTCTAGCATTTGTGCAGTCGACCTTGATCTCCACCGCTGCCCTAGCCTCTAGGTCTTTGCTCAGCCATAGTGAAAGTCTTGCTTTGGTTTTGGTGATCGAGTGACAACCTTAGGTGGAATAATATGTTTCATGTGAGATGAACATGTACTTAATCCACACAACACACTAGGTTGAACAAGACATGGTAGCCATAGTGGAGAGATGGCTTGTGCATGTGATCCAAGTGCTCAACTACTGAAGATGGAGGGACTTATTGAATATGAGGCATCGTGTAGTCTCATATGGTAAGGTGGAGAAGATCAAGGCGAGGCTTGGCTATGAAGGAGGGTTGTTGGGGTAAGGGCAAGCTAGAAGCTCAAACACGATGGACTGTCAAGGCGGTGAAGCATGAGTAGAGAGCTTGGCACCGATGGACCGAGGCAATAGTGAAAAGCAAGCAAGGCTACGATCGATGGACTAATAAGGACATGTGGAGCTATGAAGTGGATCATACCATCCATGGAAGATCAAGTCGAGTGTTGATTTGTGTTAATGATCAAGTGGCTTGATGGAGGAGCTTCATGCTATGGGCAATGGTCTAAGTAGCATGGTTCGCTACACTTAATGGATGACCACTGTTTATCATTTGATGAAGATGGAGAGTGGATGCTTGAGTGGCATCACCGACATGGAGATGGAATGGAATATGCAAGGCAAAGGTATATTTGTAGGGCATTTCATTTCATGGGTGTAAGGTTGAGTAGAGAAGTGCTTGACTGGGTTTAGGATATATCAAGAGGGGTTTTCTTGTTGGCTAATCGGTTATCTAGTGCGACTAGATAAGATCTAACTCACAGTACATTTAGATCGAGTGGCGTGGTAAGGAGGAAGTGAAAATCTTTACAAAATGCTTTTGAAAATGCTAACTCAGTGCTAAAGGAGTTGTTGTCATGTTGTACATCATTTTGGGAGTGTCGGTGTTTGTTGACCGGCAACTTGTCATGGGGTTACCCGGGACAGAGATCGGAGGGCTTCGGCGTAAGCAGAACTCGGTGGGAAATGCAAAGACAGCGATTTATACTGGTTCAGGCCGCTTGAATAGCGTATTACCCTAGTCTAGTTAGGCGTGATGCCTTTGGGTTGGGGTGTTGTGTATGATGAGATGTATAAGGGGCGTGCCCTGCCTCCCATTATATAGTCCAGAGGGCAGGGGCATTAATCTAGTCCTAGTCGGCTATGACATAAGAGTCCTTGTTCTATTCCAAAATCTGGCTTTCCTTAGTAGTCCAACTAGGTCTGTTCTTGATAGCTTGGAGATCACGCCACCTTGTTCCGTGTCTTCAAGCACGTTATGGGCCAGCCCAGACCCATGCGAGTAATTGGCCTTGTGGGGAACCCTTAGGATCCTGGTCCGTCAAGCCCCCGAGCTCTTCATGGTTGATCTTGGAAGTCTTCTTGAGTCTGCTAGACCTGTCTAAGTAGAATCAAGCATCGTCCGAGTACAATCAAGCATCATCCGAATTCTTTCGAGAGAAGCCATGCAGTGCTCTTGAAATTTTTAATATGCGTCAGCGCTAGGTGAAGCATATATGCTTTAGCCCCTAAGCCTCTTGTTGTTTAGCATAAAGAGCTGGAGGGTCTTGTCTTAAAATTGCTCCAATTCCTTTTGAAGAAATTTAAATGCATCCGCTGAGGATATATATCCCGCAGCCCCCAAGCCTAAAACCATCTACTCGATAGTTGATTGTAGGATCTTATAGACATCCGCAGGGGTGCAGGTGAGTTAACTCCTAGATCACTTTTGCAGAATCACTGGTCACCGAGTAGTTGCAAGCTTGAATTTGAGCCCCCGAGCGTAGGTGCCACTGAAACCGACTAAGCTGCTTGGGTGAAAATATCTGGCTGAAAGGTGGCTAAGATCATTCATAAGTGCAAAGCTTCGCGTGAGTGATTCCCTCAATGGGAATCCCTATGTCACCCCAACTCTGAAACTCACAAACAATCCATACCATATTCCAATGAAGTAGTAACTAGTCTGCAAAGGTCACATGCGCAATAGTGAACATTGTACCCGGTTTGTCCAGTGCAGTACTATAGCATCACATGGCGAATAAGAATCTTATCCTCGAGACCGTATGAATGAGTCAGAACTGAGTCACCTTGTCCTCAAGCCCCGGGAATCCTTATCTCGGTCCCGGAAAATGCATAGACCGGTCCATGGTGAACACAAATGGAGCTATAAATACCCCCGTGATTAGCTGTATCAAACACACCAGAAGTAGTTGTGCTATAACACTTAGCCTCCCATCGTCAAATATGATCTGTAACGAAATGTCGAGCCACGGGCAGTCGGTGTGTAGGTAATAGGAAGTCTGTCTTGCGGCTAGAAGAATTCTTGTGATAGAGTCTAGTGTTAGGCTAGTCTCAGAGTAGTGCAAAACAGAGTAGCCTGCAGCTGCAACTAAAGAGAGTCTTGTGACATGGAATTATGCAGCGTTCATAGTCCCATGTCAGTTCTTTGAGTCCAAGTTGGTAGCATGTGCTTCTAGATCCTCCTACATACTAGCCACCATGCTTTCAGTTGCTATAGACTATTTCTTCTCACGTAATGAGTGAAAAAGTGTTACATGAGTCCTTTGGCAAGCCCAAGTTATTGGCTAGGGATCACTTGAGCATCTCGAGTGAGTCCAGACGTCAAAGCTTGGGTGAGACAGGATGCGGAGACAAGGCATTGTTCTCTTTCAGGCTGCCATCATCATTTGTAGGCTAGGAAGTTTTGCACGGCCTCACCCATACCCAGATGCACTGCTACTCTGTCCGTGAAGCCAGGTGCACTGGGCTATATGCTACTGATCTGAGTTGCTTTATAGTGTTTGTATCCAAAAACGGCCGAGTAGGCCGAGTACTTGTAGCACTTGAGCGAATATGTACCTACTCTTCCTAAGAATGAATAAATTCTTGAATTTATGAGATTTCCATCTACAATTTGCATTGCTGGCACTATATCGTCCCATCTTATGTACTTGTAACTTGTAACTGACGCGGTATTGCAAAACCGCGTTAACAGCATTAAAAACCATGTTGGAAGGCGAAGAGCTATCTCTCCATTGGCACTATAACGGTTACCTTTGACGGCGTTGGGGCATTCACACCGGTAGCGGACTGGAGAAGGAGGCGGAGCCGTACATAAATAGCCCCCTGAGGGTAAATGATTTTCACCCCACCACAATCTGTTTGCCAGCAGCCGCCACCACCTCTGCTCCAGTGCTCTTGCGAAACCCTAGCCCCAAACTCTGAATGCGAGTGAAGCACTCAGTATATTTCCGCATCATGCGAAGTCAAAGAAGGCGAGCTAGGCTGATGAATCCAAGAAAGGTGGGAAGAAGGGTTCAAGGCCTCAGATCTGTTTGCAGCGGAACTACAGATCTGGGAGGAGTTGAAGGTAACCGCTGGGTTGGAGAAATTGCATCGGGAAGGCATCCTGCCGAGTAAGCAACTTGGCGAGTGGAGAGCGCCTAGGGAACACCATGTCCCCACCCAGTCACAGGTGAAATCGTCATGTTCACTCCCTTTTTCAAGCGGGGCTTGGGGTTACCTGCGTTCGAGTTCTTTTGGGGGTTACTCTTCTTCTACGGGATTGCCATGAACCATCTCAACCCCAACTCCATTCTCCAACTCTTCATTTTCGTTCATCTTTGCGAAGCTTTTCTTGGCATTCCTCCTTCCATCACCCTCTTCCGATATTTCTTCAAGCTAAAGCCTCAACCGGAAGCTACAAACCCGGCGGTCCTAGGCGGGGCAGGCATCCAGTTCAGGGTCGGGAAGAAAGTCGAATTCCAGACATATGTCCTGAAAGATTCCAACAAGTTCTGGAAATACAAATGGTACTACTCGGGAAACCTGCTCCCATAACTGGAAACACACAGCATGGAAGCGCCTCAAATCAACGCAAGATGGGAACAAGAAACCCTGACAGAGCTTGAATTGGAAGGCATCCGACCACTGATCAAACAAATTGACGCTCTAAAAAGAAGAGG